TTTAAAATTAATTTCCTCGAGATATGATATCTCCTCTCCCTCTTCTCTCTGGACTGCGATACACGAGAGATAGTGCACGCGCTTCAAAAATAATCCGTTATCGCCCGCGAATCCTTTGCGATCTTCTTTTACGTTATTTTTACAGTCTTTTTTTAATTCTTAGCAACGGAAAACGCGCATCTCTGTTGCGCCAATTTTCCTTTGAAACGCCGCTTTTGTTGTGAGATGCGCGCGTTGCAATATTGCAACAACGACGCTCGCGTTGCACGCGAGCTTTCCCCAGGAAACGTCGTAATTATGCGGCATTCGGTCGGCGGCCGTTTGCAAATTACAGCTACGTGTGTCTTTTCAACGTCGCGATGATACGACAAGCTTCTTCGAAACTGCAAAGTTACGCGATGCGGGGACCGCAATTTCCGAAGGCGAGAATGATACGACGCCAGATGCTAGATTGACAGATGAAACGTTTCTTCTCTTTCGCCATATTTTTTAAAGAATGTTCCAGAATTACTAAATACACACGCACACATGGAGTACTTTTTAGGGAGTTTCTTTTTTTTTTTTTTATAAAAGCACTTTTTTCCCAGAACTCGAAGAGATGAAAATATTACACTGATAGCTTTTATATTATAAACTATTGTATGATAAAAAGCTTTTCACGAAATGCAGAAAGAGCTTTGACAATTCGACTACCGTTCCTTCAATCGTACAGTGGAGTGTTCCTTTTATCGAATTTTAATCTAAGGCTTAGAAATATATCGAAATGTTAAAGTTAAAGTATCTTATTTAAAGATTAATTATTAGAATTATATACTTTGTGAGATATCAACATTTTTCCTCCATTCCGGAATACCTTGTACACACAAAAGCGATCTCTCGATTGTATGTCCATGGAGATGCGTGACGTACCGCGTTCGTCACGTGGCGAAAGGATCACGTTTAACCACGGTTTTTGATGGGGCCCCCCTATGGAACATCTGTCGTCTTTTAAAATGCAGGATATCCCAAAAGTTGTACGCTTTCTCTTCACCGCGAAAATCCTTTGTCGAATTTCAAACAAAATACGTATATTCCTCGAGCGTGTCGCAATTTTAATAATAAGTCCTAGTCACTCAAAAAATATAAAAAGTTTATTTTATTAATTACTCAATTCTTAATAAAAATCTCGAAATTTTCGAATTATTTTCGAATATTATTTTTTATGATTAATATGATTAAATAATTTTTATATTGAAAAAGGGACCGCAAAAGACCGCGAAATCGGATGAATAATATAAATATAAAATTGCGTAAATAAAATATAAAATAAAATATAAAATTATATACATACTTTTTTTAGTATATATAGGGTATATATGTACACACACATATATTTTTAATCTATATTTTAATACATCCCTTGTCGCCTAATTATTTTTAACATCCCATATTATCGTCAAATACAATGTTTGCATCGCGAGAAAAATTCTCGCATAAATATCGATATCACAAATGATCGCATATGATACTTAAATTTACATTATCACCATTTAAAATATCCTATGGATAAAATACACCGCGGAATGAAATATTCAGGTTCGGATAAATTCTCTTCCCTTTTCTCTTATTTTCATTAATTTATTTGATTGCGCACCGAGTCGTGATTTTATTTTTCATTTGTTTGCATCAGAGAGGTCACGGCCGATAAAATAAAACCGGTCTGATACTGATATGCGTAACATAGCATTGTTTTAGCCTTTATACATGTTTCCGGATGTATTCGCGCTACAACGGATGTAACGTAACATCCAGAAAAGCATCGAAAGCTTTCTCGAATACCTTCAAACGGAAGCGTAAAACTGAAACTTTTTTTTTTTTTTATACTCTTACAGTGAGCTATAACAAAGTTCAATGTGCGATATATGACAAAGGCTATATTATCACCCGCGATAACCGTCTTGGTTTGCGAAAGATCGCGCGGACAACTGTTCGCTATTTGTTTGCTATGATAAAAAGAACGCCGACGACGATGATACTTTTAATATTCCCTGGCAGCAGGTGAATCACTCGCAAGACTCTTCGTTCGACGACCTCTTCTAACAAAGAGCTCTCTCAAATAACGAAGAAATCCGTCGTCAACGAGGTGACGAGACACGAAAACCAACACCCTAATCAGACCCCAAAGTCGTTAGTTTTGTTATCGGCCACTAAACCGATCAACGACACCCCTAGAGAAACTTCACGACGTATATATGGTATCGCTACAAGATTCGAAACGAAAATCACAGGAAAATTAATCTATGTATATGTATGTCTTTGAATGAATCGTTATGGATCTGCGAAATATATTAATTTAATTAATTTTCAATATATAAAATTCAATTTCTTTTTCTGTCAACAATTTACTTTTTTATTTTTTTTTTAAATACTACTTACTCTTCGGAACGATCCACGATATACAGGGTGCTTTATAATTCACGAGTCTAGCACAGTTTCTTTTGAAATACATACACATACGCATACAACGATTATTCGACACATTGTATTTGCATCTCGTTTCTCACCTAAAGCAGACATGCTCGCTTCGGCAATAACCCTTCGAACTTCCGGCGGCGAGTCCACCGGCGATTGTGTGTATGTGTACAGAAGCGGTCCCGTCGTCGGCTCGTCGCCGGATTTCGAATGAATAAACATAGCCTAAACCGCGACAGTGGGTCCCCGAGGGCGAGCTACCTTCCTCCTCCTCTCCTTTCCGTCCACTCGCGCATCGCATCATTTCACGGTCGTTCCGCTCCGAAATTCGTGACTTCACTTCCGTTTACTACGCTCGGCGCACCAGCGGCGGGTGCGTTGACCCTTTTCGAAGGTCGTCGTACCTTTCTACGTTCGTGACTTGCTCGGCTTCGTGGATCGACCTTAATCTCTCGTCGGTTCGCGACGGCTCGTTCACCTCTTTTTTTCCTTCCTCTCTTTTTGTTTATTCTACTACTTCAAGAAGCTCGACGACGTAATTAACGTTCTCGTACGCTAATTTTCGCGGATAAATCGAATCGAAAATGTACTGGAGAATCGTCGTAATTTTCAGGAAATACGTGCCGAACTTGAGAGACGACGTTTCATTAATGACGATATTGATTCTATTATTTATTCGAAAAATATTATTTTTACCGTTTTTATCTCTTTTCTCAAAATTTTAATGTTTTAAACCGAAAATTGTGAATTCTGTCAGAATATTGTTGAGCATAATTAGAATTTAATTTAATTAATTAATTTATATGTACATATATGAATATACAGTTGGAAAATTTGTGTCAAATTTAACATACATCGCATGTCCCAAACTATCCACACAAATTTTGGTCTTAATTTAACATAATATGGATATGAATGTAAAATTTAACACAAAAATTTTAATCGGCATATTTTTTAACAAGAAAACAGATTTTTCAACTGTGTGTAAATGCGAGAATTTCCACAATTTTTTGCTTCTTTGATTCGACGTTTCATTGAAATCATACGATGGCGCAATGAACGAGAATCCGACTGGTTGAAAATACATATGAGTGGCGCTCAAAGAGGCGACGCACTCGAGATAATGGGCCCGTTTTGCCCGCTTATCGACAGTCTCGTCGTTTGTTTTTTTCGTTTATTTATTCTCGTTTATTTTTTTCGACACACACACACACAAACGCGCGCGAGAATGTGTTGCGGGACTATACACGAGAGTCAACCGTCTCGCGCGAACGAATCGATTTAGCGAGCTATAACGAAGCTAACGATTGCGACCCGATTAGTACGTACGAGGTTTGTCGTTCTCGTTCACCTTATATAAAACCAATTACGAAAGCGATCAAAAATAAATAAATCGCCAAATATAGTTATAATAATGATATATAAAAAATGATAATAAAATAATGATTATAAAGAAGTAACGGTAGTCTAACTACTTTTATAGTCTAACAACTGTTAATTATTTATAGGTATTGTGTGTTTTTTTAATTCTTTTAATTTAGTTAATATATAATAATGAATTATATATATAAATAGGGTTGCCGTGCACACGAATTTATTCTTAATTTCGTATAATTTTGATTTTCTATTTAATTTCCAAACTTATTGTTAGAGAATTTTTCTTCATTGTCTTGTTATATAATATATATTATGATCGATAACTCGATCATAATAAATATGATCGAAAAATAAATATGAATATATCGATATTTTTATTCTTGTATTTATAAATGTATTTATATTTAACTTTAAATATCTCCTTAAATCTCTGTTATGTACTTTTTATATCAATGTATCATGCGATTGTCGCGGATCGAAGATCCATTTTCCTCCTCCTTTTCCATATCCTGCTTCCTCTCACTCCGTTCAAAAACGAGGAATTACTTTATCTGTCTGGGCAGACGATATGCCACATGGGCGACGACTGAAAATGGGATTTCGACCGCGCATCGCGGATTCTCTCTTTCTCTCTGTCTCTCTTTTTCTCTGCTCCTCTCGTAAATCGAAATCGTCGGTTTGTGGTAACAACAACACTCGACAATGAAATCGAACCCGTAGCCGTAAACGGACTAATTGCAGGGATAATAATTATTCTCGGAACTAGCATATATAGGAGAGACTGGGAGAGACTAACGAGGATAGAGGCAGTCACGTCGTTCCCTATTCGTGTTTCCAGATTTATCCATAATGCAAGCTACCGGTATTATTTAGTCGATCATTTTCCAATAATTCTCTCTCCATCCCTCCTCTTGATCGCGAAATTAAAATTGAAATCGATTCGTCTCTCGCTCATTTTTTCCTTAATGAGAGATTTTCCTTAATCTCGAAGAGAGACTTCGAGCTGTAATAGATTGGTTTAAGATGGTTTTAATCATCGTGTGACTTTTTTTCTTTTCTTTTATGTATGCAGATGTTTTTTTACAATTTTTTTTATAAGATATATTTTATATTTTATAAAACGTAATAAAATAGGAAACAATGTATGTATGTGTGTAGCGGCGATAAATAATAATAAATTAAAAGAAGGAAGAAACTAAATTAAGTGAAAGAGAGAGGAAAATCGAGATTTATCATGTCAAATATTTATACTCAATAGCTGTGATAAAATTATACGTGATGGCTATTTTATAACTTGTTTTCTACGAACATGTAATCAACGCATAATAATGATAAATAGATACGCACATTTTTTTCTATTTTTCCCATAATAAATCTTGTTTTTTCGCGGATGAGATAGGATAAAAATATTAATTTTTGTATTATTTTTGTGTGACTTTCAGGGCTGTCACGGATCCAAGGGATGGCAGGAGAGTAGCCTTAAAAAAACTGCCGAACGTCTTTCAAAGTCTCGTAAGCAGCAAGCGAGTCTTCAGGGAACTGAAAATGCTTTGCTTCTTCAAACACGATAACGTAAGTGGTATTATTTATTGTATCAAGTATGATCGATGTGAACATCGTAACATAACAGAGACAGAAAAGTTTCTTATAACGGAAACGACGGATAAAAAATAAAACAAAGATGCGATTCTTTTATATCTGAAATGTGAGATAAAAAATAAAATAAAAACGCGCAATTTTTTTATATCAATAAAGAATCGATATCGAATTTCTAGACGTAGCTTTCAAAGATTTTATAATAATTATCTCTGAGTATACTCTCTATTATAATAATAAATGTATCAAAAATATTTAATAATTACAATTATTAAATATATTTGATATTATAATAATTTACATTTAATTTTACTCACTATAAAAAAACATATATAAAACCATTTGTGTCTTTTTTTTATAAGATTAAAATTAGATTTTCAAATTTCATAATTATCTGAATATATATTATTGGCACAGCGTATTTTACAGAAATTATTTAATTAAATAATCATTGTGATAATAATAAATAATATAATTAATTAACAATAAGTAGATTTCTTGTTTTAAACACGCTTTGTTGTAAACAAATTATATACCGTTTAGCATGAAATATATTTATTTAAACGAACATTTGATAAATCCTCTCTTTCTCTCTCTATGTAAGTCGTGTAGTGAACGTAACGGAAATTTCCGCGTTTTATTTCCCCGAGGACTAGATCGCGCGTCGTCCTTCCCCCCGCATCTTCCGGCTGCTAGATTCCGTGCTCGTGCACTTTTGCACGAGAAAGGGGGATCGATTGCGCTATTTCTCTCTCCTTCTCTCTCGTCCAGTCAAAGGACGAGATACTCAATCGCTTCCCGTTTCTTTTCTTTTTGCAGGTACTTTCCGCGCTGGACATCCTTCAGCCGCCGCATCTGGACTTCTTCCAAGAGATGTATCCTTTTTTAAACACTCGCATTCGAGGACACGCGGAACATAAATCTCGGTATAGGAGATTCTCGGACAGGTGAATTCTCCCGTCGACGATCGAGGTATTTTTTTAACAATCTAGTCGCGTTCCCACGATTCTCGATTTTTCGAATCACCGATCGAGATTAATATGCAATTTTTTTTTTCTAATTAAAACAAAAATAACTTAAAATTAATTGATTAAACTGATTTAATCTGAAACTTTTGAATTGCGTTTTCGTGTCGCGGGAGTTTACAGTATATAGCCTGCTTCTTCTACTTTGTAGATTTTCCTAGATTCTAGCGGAAGAGTCGCTGCCTCACGCAACGCTCGATCTCTCGAAACGAGTGTCCCGAACGATGCAGAAACTTTTAATCGTCGAGCAATTAAAACTCGCGCCGGTCACGATTCCTCCTCGAACCGTCCCTCCGGCAAGAGTATTTGTCAGAGAGAGGAAACTTTTTCGCTATCGCGAGTAATTGCCGTTCGACAAATCTACATTTTCTGAAACAGTCTACTCTTTTCCTTACTATAACTCTATTTTTCTCCTCGTATCTTTGTCAAGATTTCTAAAAGATTATTAAAAGATTAAGAGAGATCGAGGGTTTCTGCGAAAGAGCACTTTTTACCAAAAATATTTCATGATGCAAGAAAATTGCATTTTACAAGAAAATCGTCTTGCAGAAAAAGAACTCTTCAAGTGGTAGACATTACGAGATAGTTTTCCGATCGAGGGCGAAACAGGAACTTATTGCGATAGTCAGGGGGCGCGAAATTCCCGCGGGATTACTCGTCTCCTCGTAAGCCGTTCTGCGTGATCGCATGATCAAGCGATCGATCGATCGATCGATAAGTCCTTAAAGCCTTAAATGAACAGGATCCATTCGGAGTTAATCTCGATCGAGGCGAGAGCAATAACTCAACCCTTTTACGTTCCCCTTCATCTCTTCTCCCGCTCTCTGCCTTTTTCCGGCAACTCCTGTTCGCGCTCTGTCGCATATCGAACTCCAGCGTAATTACGTAAATCATTATTAGCAATTGGTGCAGCTATTATGGCCTTGCGATTGCCTTCGTCCTTTCTCTATTTTTCTACTTTCTTCTTTCTTCTTTTTGCTTCGGCTCGATCTGTTCCATCAGGATTGTAACACTTAATAAGATATTTTTTTATAACGAACTGAAATTATTTTGCCTTAATAAGATGCTTTTCTTATATAAATAAATATATAAATAAATAAATAAATAAAAGTGTAAACGTACACGCATAAAAATAAATTGGTTAGTCGACTAGTTACTTTAAAAGCGTGTAAATAGACAAATAAATAAATAAATAGATAAATTCGTAAATAAACAGACGGATAACCAGGGAAATAAACGATATCGTAAATCCGTCGATAAATAGACAAACAAATGAAGAAATTAATAAACGAAATTCAACGGTTATGGATCGATAAATTTTCTCGCAGCGAGAGCTGACATTAATTGACGGCAAATAAATAATCGGGACGAAAATTGCGCGACTGCGGAATATCCATCGATAGACCACTACCGGTGACTTTTTACTCCCTCCCCGCTACCGCTTTGCTGCTTGTCCCCGCGATTTAATTCCGCGTCCCCTGCAGCTGGCGATCGATTCTAATTTTGTCCGCATGAAAAATTCAGCCCGGCGCCCAGCGCCCCAAAGTTCCGAATGCGACCGCCTAATTTCTAATTAAGGAGCGACTCGCGATTAGTTTGCGCAGCCACGAACACGAAAATCACCAACCGCGGTATAGATAGTGCCGTAAGGGCGGGGAGGGTGTGTGATTGCCAGTCAGTATCTATAATATTACATTTTCATCGTAATTACGTTATCAAGTACAGTCTCATCCATCTTTCATACATACATCTCTTTCTTTTTGTCATTTTATATTTCTCTTTGTATGCTCTTATATTATATCATATTTCAAATTTGAAATTCCCTTTTGAAACTTTTTAAATTGATATCTGAAATTAAAATTAGAGGAACATAAAATACGCCGAATCAAAATCAGAGATTGCTAAGAAATTGTAAGACATTTTCTCTTATCTTTATTTTTTAGTTTCAGAATTCTGGGTCATGGGTTTTTAATCGTTTACCGAGATGTTAGTTTTGGTCCTGCTTGATTGAAAAATAAGTAGAGTAGAGAGGGATCAAAACCACGATTTCCATCCGGCACGGGGCGGGGGCGGGGGAACGGTCGGCCGATGAACGCCATGAATACGTCATGGCGCGCGCCCGGGATGAGTTTGCTCGATGGTAATCACATGGATTATTAATGCGCACACCGCAACCAGCCATTGATATGTCGATAGTGCGCCATTAGCAGCGGCTGCGACCGCCGCCGCCCATCGCGTACGTTTACAATATCGTACGTGTAAATGATACCTGCAACTTCCTCGTGACATTGTCGTGAGGATACGATGTTGCCCCGTCTGCGATTATCGTCCTAATTCGCGCTCTTGTTCTTAATTCCCGCGATATCTAGTCCCTTTTAATTGCTCCACTACTCGACTCGTGGTATAATATTAATCACTATGTATTTAGAAGTCATGTATGTATATATACACAGCAACATAATATTACATTTAATATGTATATTATGGTAACAAAATACAATGATATATGATATTATGATCAAGTTAATTAATATTAGTAATTTATATTACCATAATAAATGTGCATAGGTAATGCATTAAATTAATTAACATTGAAAATGTATTAATCTTTTGATACATATATGTATTTTATTTTCTATTAATATATATTATTACAATATCTTACTATCTTTGTTTTAATGATTAAGAACATGATATTGTAATTTTTGGCTGTTTCGAGATGCACGGGAGAAATTAAAAATTGCATTTAATCTTTTCGCGATTAAAAGACAAATTTTCTAGATTTTGAGGAAAAACACGGAGGGAAATTAAATTCCGTGCGATTACGGCCGATTTGATTTACAAGAAAAGTTGTATATGTAAAGACGATCGCGTCCGTTTGGAACGACGTGGGTTCGATTACGCATAAACAATAGGCGTTTTTACTGTGCGTGGAAGAGACACATGATACACGAAAGGAAAGAAGGCCCGCATGTGCAACAAGGCGGCGTTCTCTCGATCGTTTGCATTCGCCCGTATCGCGGCATCGGAAGAACGATACGGCCGGGAAAAATTTTCAGTCCCCGCTGCGGTTGTCATTATGGCACACGTGCGTTCGCAGGTGTGTAACGGATGCGCGGATTACGACGATTAACGAATATCGCGAGGGTTAAACAAAATGAGACTTGATTCTTCTGATTTTTGAATTATATAATATATTATGTCGTTACTAATATATATGT